TATACCCTACTAAATATTAACTCTGTTTTTACAATTATGATTTCATCCCTCTTCTCTTTAAGTCTTTTCAATTATTACTTTAGATCGCATCAAAAGGCAGGACCTGGTCTAAGGAGAGCACACTTCCGGGTTTCCAGAAATGCAACTCGGAAACAAAATTTCAACTCCGGGTAACAACATTTCAACTCCGGTAAAACAGTGTCGATTTTGTCGAATTCTAAAAAAGAATTCTAACCAACTAAATGATAAAGATTTCCTCCAAAAAACCAACCTGGGGATACTATAATAGTCCAAGTGCCTGTCATTTAAATTGTTTTTTATGTACTGGATATCATGGAAAACCTTTCTTTGGAAATCAGTAGGAGTTGAAAAAGGCCTAGAGACACCCGGAGATTAAATTCCCCTCACCATTAAAGAAACTTTACAGCATTAACCGATGCCAATTGCCTGGTTTGTACTCTAAGATGCCTTAGTGTACCTGTGATAAAAGGTGTAGAGGTTGCTATGCATGTTTTTTTTTTTTGTTTTTTTTTTTTTTCTTGAAAATAATTCAGCTCCAACTTGTCCTTATTGAAAATCACCCATCATAATATATATCTTCATCAGGCACAATAATATATTGATATTTAAGCCCACGAAGAAGAGATAATTCTCCGAAACGAATTGCATGAGGTAAAATTTAAATTAGCGTACGCTAGAGTTCTTGGCTTTTATCTAAATATTATTTCCATCAGACTACATTGGGGTGTGCCCGCGATGTTGTTTAGCTTCTATTTAATGAATACAAAGGCATAATATACAGTATTAATTAGGAATTATCCAACCCCTCGAATTAATCTCTATACCAGCCAGTCACGAGGCTATTATTGCGAATCAGGGAGTAGCAAACTTCGAAGCAGACCCAACCATCCTTGACTGCGGGCAGGCACATTATATCCCTATTTAAACTAGCGGCCCGGACGTGCGGCTGCATTGATTGCCTCATGGTTCGCCAGGGGCGCCAACGCTGTTCAATCAATGCCCTCTGGCTAGGCTGCGCGTCGAGGCTAAGGCGATCGTATCGCGTCGCGTCGGGATGGGGGACAACCTTGTAACAGGGTCGTGTTACACTACGGAACGACACAACACAGTGCGTGTGCACACACATCAGCGCGCGCGCGCAAGCACGCGACACGACAGCACACACGCTACAGGCGCAGGACAAACACAACACACACACACACCACAACTAGACACAAGGCACGCACGTAGAGTGCATACCTCCGCCAGCATGTAACATGTATCGTGTTACGAGCTGCGCTCGCCGCTCGCGTTCTGCTGGAAATGCTGACTCAACATCGCCTGCTGCTTGACTCGGCCGCTCGTGAAGCTTTGGTGCTGCTGACTGCACATCGCCTGCTGCTGACTCGCTGCTCGCTGACTCGACGCGCTAGGTCAAGAGTCAATCGCCGCTGACGGGCAGCTGGGACACACACACACACACAGCACACACAGCACATCACAACTTAAACACCACAAACCACACACACGCACACAGACCCCGCGTTTCGGACCCCTACAAGGCACGCACTTGCCTTTCGGCGAGCGCACAACACACGCACACACAATGCAAACCGCCCAACAACAGGCACACACAGCACACAGCACACACACACAACAACATACACGACATGCAGCGCACATACGCGCGCACATACAAGCGCAACACGAGACACAATACATATTATATATATATAATAGTATATTGGTAAAGGGCGACAACGCCAACGCCAGGGAAAGTATGGCAATGGGCGAGAACAAAGCAACCGTGTCAGGAGAGAATGTATCCGCAAATCAGGGACGGGAGAGTCGCGGCGGAACGGAGGTTTCAGAGAGAGAGCCGTGACTCGAAGATGGCGCCGTCTAGGCTGAAGCGCGGACGGTTATGAATCCCCGAATGCCTTGCGGCATTGTGAACCGCCGGCTTAGACACTGACAAACAGATGAGATCTATGACAAAATAAGCAGGGCCAGAATTCGACCAATGGAGGTTCCACGCCAAGTGGCGCACCGCGCATGCCCCCGCCACCATAAAATTAAGTTGTAGCCGGAGATAGCAGTAGGAATGGCGAACTCTGCTCTGTTTCGGGAGGGCGTCGGTTGGTCTGAAAGGGGAGGAAAGGAGATACTGTCGCAACGTAAGGGAAGAAAACGCGATCGCGACTGGAGGCGAGCGACGTAATATAAGGTGGAAGCCATCGCTTCTAGAAGCTCGGACCAGTCCACCCGCTGAGAAAGGTGTAGTGTGTAGTAACCGCTCTTTGCTTCCGGTAGTGCAGGCGAGACTTTATGTATTCGATATTAGAGATTGAGTAAACCCAAGTGAACATTACTCTTGTCTATGTCGTTTACTTGTCTCTAAGTTTCATTACAAAACCTCTTAAACAAGTGATAGCGGCTAATAACGTGTCTAAGGCAAATAATTACTAGCAAATACGCCGTGGCTCCGCACGGGGACGTAATGAAGTGTTCTGGACCAAGAGTTCGAACTGTTAGAATCTAATCCAGCATGGGGGAAGTCCTTGTGGCATTGGTATATGTCGCGCTCGCGCTGTGCCAGGAAAAAGAGGCTCGTTCTCTTCGGTTGGAGAGGGGAGGGCAGAGGTGGGCACGAAGATTTGACGGCTTTGAATTTGCAATGTGGAAGGAGAAGCTCCCTGGAGCATAAAAAAGAACTTGGGTATGAGATTCTCATCAATGAAGGAATAGGTAAAGATTCTTAATTTCAAGATGGCGTTCAAGATGGCTGTCAATTCATGTAATTGACCATAACTCGCCACCTATTTATGAGAGGTTGATTTTAGTGTCTATCCCTATATTTTATGGGTCAGGCTATCCATTAAAACTGATACCCGTACCGAAAATGCATTGCATCATTGTTAAATCTAAGATGGCCGCCGAAAGGGACACCGTATCATATAAACTGCTATAACTTCTCGCAGACTTATGATAGAAGAGTAATTTTCGTGTCTATCCCTATGTTTTAGGGGTCAGGTCATCCAATGAGACTAATAACCAGATTAAAAACGCACTGCATCACCATCAAAGCTAAGATGGCCACCAAATATGACCGTCATTTATTGACAACTTTTCACATATCGCTATAATACTAGCAGCATTTACAGTATACATTATATTATTGGTAAGGTAACTTTAATACTGATCACTGTGTCCTTAGGATACCAATTGGGTTTCTGCAGTCATTGACTTGTTCGGTCTGGCATTTGCAAAATTCGCAACATTTGGCACCATTTTGTTGACACACGCACCTTGCTGTAGAACACTTCACACAGAAACACACAACTGCAACATCGTCCGGCATAGGTAGATGGAACCTACCTGGAACAAGCAAGCCATCTGATAATTCGAATCCAAAGTCTGTAGGTTCCAGAGTAAGGGCACTCAAACAGTTCATCTGACTATAGGTGGAGTAAAAGGCTCTGATAATATGTCCGTTAGCTGCGTGGCTAGTCGGTGGCAAGTCCAGAACGGTCACAGACTTGCTGTGGTGGTATAGACTATGTCGTAATTCATCCATATTTTGTATAGTATGGTCACCATGTTTCACGACCTGTACCAGATATAGTTCCGATTCAGCTAGACACAAATTGTCCGAGTTCTTCCCAAAGTCCTTGAGGTGTGCTATTGGGTTCGCTTTGAGCGCTGCCAATTTGGTGCCAAATTTGCTTGTGATGTCACATCCAGTCAACGCATGAACGGCCGGCAGTACATCACATAATTCACGCCCCTGCTTTGCTGCCAATACATGTACTGGGATGTACCTGATACTGTCCCCTACACCTGCTCTCATCCACAGTTCAACCATACCATGCGTTTTAAAGATCTGGCTGAAATGTAACAACAGCACCAACACATCAGTGTCATTTGACAGCACGACAATCCTCTTGACACCGATCCTGATGGCATGCAAAACATGGGGCATGATTCGAACATCCGCTTCTTCCAGAGTAGAATCGAGTTCATTGTATTCGTTTGTAATTCCCGAATGGACTGACCTTGTCTTCGTAGACACTGTGCTCCCTTCAATTTGGCTAACTACAATTTCCACACCAGGGACTCGTGTAGGACATTGGTCAATCAGAAACCTAGTCAGCAGTTCCTCTAGTCTAGCCTTATTGCCGCTGGATCCCCCCAAGCTGTCCATTTCCTTTGGCAGTTCAGCCTCAGGATTGAGATTACTGTACTCGATAGGTGGTCTCAGCGTCCTCCATTGTC